TGAATAGATTTGAAAAGACGTTTAGTGTGATACTTATCATTACGTAGTACTTTGTTTTATGCATCTGGCCTATAAATAAGGCACGTAACCATTGCTTCTTACTTTAAGCATTTTTTTTTGTCTTCGAGCATTTGATTTTCCTTCTTCTCTCATTTTGTTTGTTGGTCACTCTTTGTTTTTGAAAATGGCCCCGAATTACTTCCCCACCATCTTTGGCTATATGAGATAGTGCTGGATGACAGCGTCACCCATCGAAAGTTGACTAGAGCGGCTCGAGCGACTGACTTGGTGGGAACAACCTGGGCTTTAATAAGGACTAGTTCACATATGGTCTCCGGTTGCCTTTGTGTGGTGAGCTACGGAGGGTATTCAACACATACAGGGTTATTCTATCATAGATACTGCTGAATTCCATAGCCACTGTGATGACCTTCATCTTTTACTGTCATCGAGAGCGCATACCCTGGTCGATCAAATTATTCACATATTTCTTTTCATTCAAGATCGAAAGGGAGGGATTTTTCATGTCCCCGACGGGCAAGGTGCTTTACTTGTTGTGAGTAGAGAAAAAAATCAGGAATAGGAGTATGCAATTTTTTGTCGGCTCTTATTTCGACCCCTGGGAAATCTGGATCATGTCATCAGATAGAGTAGTGTTGAGCATGGAGGTCGAAGCCGCTTTCAAAGAGCATGGAGGTTCGTCAGGCAATGTTGACCAGCCACTACATCTCTGTCCCCTAATACATCACTGAGGTGACAGTTACCCGTGTGCTGACGGGCAAGATGACCGAGTAACTATGACGCCTCTCTGACGCCAATGAGCATATCCGAGCAATGACAGTGAAGGATAAGCTCGCTATTAAACTTGGTAAGCAGAACAATCCTCCGGCACTAGGTAAATCCGTTGAAGATGAGGATCGACTTTCTTACAGTGCATCCTCGAGGCATATATTTTCGTGTCTGAAACTAATGTTTTCATTCAAGACAAAATGACTGACAAGGTCACTCTTATTCCTCGAAAATATGCTTCTCATCTTGAAAATCTTGTTGATGCAAAGGAAAGTACATAGCAGTGATCCGAAAGACACCATAGCTCCATCCCCTTCTCATCTATAGTTGGCGACAGACATGAGTGTCATTGGCCGTCATCACTCCAACGGATTCCCAGGATAGGGGTCCTTTCTTCATCTCCCTATCTCAGAGGGACAAGGCCAGCTAGACTGCCCCTTCTGCCACATCAAGCTCCTCATCAGAGGAGTTGATTTCATCATTCGAATGTCAAGTCTCGCCGTTGCTCAAGGGAATAGAGGTATGTCAGTGGGGAAAGGAGATGATGGAGGAAGTAGATGTCCTACGCGACCTCCATTGAATTGGAATAAGGTGGCCTTCGCTGGGAGCCCATGTGCAAAAGTGCCAATGTCAAGGGGCTGGTAAGCGGTTTGGTTTGTTGAACCAGTCTTTAGATTACTATCCACAAATAAACGACAACAGGGAACTACCTTCGACTTTGTTGAGCCTATTATGATTTGTGGGGCTTGGCTAGAGGCTTTTGTTGTAAAGGGCTTCTCCAGAATGTGGCCCATTTTCTAGGTTTAGCCTTGATCAATCTGGAGTGATCATTGAATAAAGCTCATAAGAAACAGGCCTCGCTGGAGGCAGATCTGAAAAAATCCCAGGAAAATCGAGACATGTGGGGCCTCAAGTTCAATAATTTCATCAAGGTCAATAAAGAAACCCTCAGCACCATAGTCTTGGAGAAGGAAAATGTCTAGCTGAAGGAGAAGGCTGCCTCGTCGATCCAAGGAACAGTATGAGGAAGGTTGGATGGAGAACCTTAAACTAGGGGTGGATTCCTTCATTCAGCAATTCATTAATCATTGCTTGGTCAATCCTAAGTTCTCTAACTAGAAGGAGTTCTCTACTCTTATCCGGGACGAATCGGTTGACAGTTCCGCATAAGAGATGATTCAAGCAGTGAAGAAGGGTCAACCACCTGTTAGGGTTATGTGGAACAAGAACTTTTCTCATTTCTTTTTTTTCAGAAAAAGATACTTGTATTACCCTTTTTTTGAATATATGAGAAAAATTGGTTTGTTCATGTTTTCTCTTTATGGATTGGCTGTGTTTTTTTATTGACCGTGTGCTTTTCTTGTGAGTCGATCTGTTGCACAGGACGGTCGACTGATTTGTGTCAGGTTGGGTCGTCCCCTCTTGAGAGACTCGCAACTGAGGAAACCATTTAGACTTGTCGCGGATCTTGTCGTCGTTGTTTGTATCAGTCACCTTCAGAGCTAGACTTTGTAAAATTTATTTTTATAGCAGAACTTAGTCGAATTAAAAGGATACTGTTAACTTTCTATACCAGCATAGGATTAGACAGGGAGCAGAAAGTTGCTCACGTCCTTGAATTTATTTTAAGTCAACTTTGTACAATATGAATGAAATTATTCCCTTATTTTTTGTAGTAAATAAGAAAATTAAAAAAGTAAAAAATATCTACAAGTGGGTTCTACGACATGAATCCAACCAAAAAAATTGGGCCAACATAACACGATAAGAAGCCATAGAATCGAACCAAAATATGAATATAGCTTGCGGAAACCCAATTCAATTTGCCTTTATGACGACAACTCAACATCAAAGCAAATAACAACTCGCCCATGACCCTCGATGATTGATTTGGACTAAGCAAATTGTCGATCCAAACTAGCAGATTAGCCAACATAACACGATAAGAAGCCATAGAATCGAACCAAAATATGATGGCATCTTTTATTAGTGCTACTTTGCGTTTATAATTTTGGTGAAAATCAACCCTTTCTGAAATAATATTTGCAAAATCAATATTATTTTTTGGACGAGTTTGGTGTTCATCTCGGCCCGTCATATAAATAACTTGTTTTCTCGCGGTTCAATTTCATAGGAAGCTTAAAGTTTAGCGGCTAGCTAGTGTCGATCATTAGTGAAATTTAACCTTTTTAAGGGATATTAATTGTAATGAAAGATTAATTTCTTTTGTTGAGCTAGAAAGAATTAATCTTAGTTTCTTATTTTCAGTTCCTTAACTTCCAAGGTTCTATTGTTTTGTTCCAACTTCCATAAAGGAAGCATAGTTTTATATTGCTTCATTTGGTTCTCCCTTTCATAGTGTAATATAATTGGAAAAAAAGTAAACTAAACATATTAACGTCAACTTATCATAATCATTTAATTGTTTAGTGTAAAATATTTGAAGGGGAGTAGGAATGATTCAAAACAAATAAATCATCATTATTGTTGTTGTTATCAATATTGTTGTCACAGTAACTAATTTAATAAAGTATTTTATCATCTTCAGCAATATTTTTTATCATTAAAGAGATGTGATTATCAAGATTAAATACCATTAAGATTTCGATCAAAAGAGATCCATTCATGTGAGATTACCATGATCAAGGTGCATCAATATTCTAACCAAAAGAGATTCATGTGAGATTATCATCACAACAAGAAGCATCAGGATTTCAATGCAATGTGATATATTCATGCGAGACAAACATGATCGAGAAAACATTAAGATTCCAACCAAAAAAAGAGCAAGCCAAACATGAACAAAAATCTAAAGCTCTAGCCCACTTAATGCGGATAACTATGCCTACTTTGAAAGCAAGAGAGGATTGCAATCTTTATGGGCAATCCAACCTCAAAATAAAGCCATGGAATTTTAAGGAAGCATAATGTTGATTAGCTAAAATACAATTCCCTAATCAAATAAGGCGAGTTTGAAGCCTTGAAGATTCAAAATTAAATTAAATAACATATGAAGCATGGGATCAACCAAGGAAACATGGAGTGGTTATACAAATCAAATCCAATATCAAGAACATATATTAAGCGCCTCCTTGACAATTCACTAAGTTATGCAGCTTATATTTTTTTTCAAATGGATATATTCACAAGTTTATAAATATGTTGTAGCTTGAATTAACTTTAGATTACGTTAATATGGTGGAGTTGCTTGAGAGCAATGTGAAAGGTAGAGCTATGGCTCTCCCGTTAGGGGACTACATTTAGTTTGCTTGAGATTTAACTTAGTATGTTTCTATTATTCTCGTCAATAATATTGTTATCTTTCACTCCCTTACAATCCTTCAAATAACATCTTATCCTTTCATGCTTTAATGTGTTATTCATTTTAATGTACATCATGGATGTGATTCATGCAAAAGCTTGCCTACCATCTCTATTAGGAAGTTGCTAAAGGTTGACTTCCCTAGGAAAGTTATCTAGAAGGAGGATTCTAGGACAAGTAGTTGGGATGGTTGAACTCTTAGAAATTGGGATGGTTGAACTCTTAGGAAGGAAGGAAGCCAACCATTAGCCGACTAAAATAGGTAGCACTTTACTCCTCTGTTGACATAAGTTGACTTAGCTCATCATAGCCCAGATCTGTGTCCTCTGACCCATCATAGTTCTCAACAATCTTAAAATCTAGATGTTCTCAATCTAGGCTAAAGTAGCTCAATGCTTTTGATTGACCTTCTAACACTGAGAGCTCAATTCATTAATTATAAACTTTGGGATTTTTCACCTATTTTAAATCATTGAACCACGGGACCCTAGACTTTGAGGTTGAGCCTCCTAAGCAATCCTAGACATTTATTATTTCCAACATTAGTGACCTTGAGGTCAAACACTGCTTGGACCACCCTTTGGAGTTGGGGTAGCTCATGCTTTCAGGCGAACCGCGCAACATCAAGCTTATAATGGGACTTATCATCTAGAGGAATAGATTCATGAGACCTTAGCGAAATCAAAATTCATTTAACTCAAAATCTACTTCCTCCTACTCACAGATAACTCACTTGAAATTAGTTCAATTCAACTCAATAATCAGGAATAAACTCAGAACAAAACTAATATATATATATCTCAAGAAAAAGTGTGAACATTACAAAAATCTATCTTACCAATGAAAAGACAGGTAGATTTGGCATTTAATGCAAAACGAAAGCACCAGATGCACCATCACATAAATCAGATGTATAACAACAATTCCTTTTTAATTTGAAAATCCTTCCTTAAGATATTCACATATATTTGTACAAACTACTTAACTAGTTAATTCTAAAAAAGAAAATCTTAGGGAAAAAGCAAAGCCACCTTATACATTTGCTTGTGAAAGAAGACCATCTCTTTTAGCCATCTCATATAATGCAACAGCAATGAGAGCTTTGGCATCCGCTGTCAATCGCCAAAGCTTATTGTAGGGAATAACATGTACCTTAATCAGTTCACCGTGGTTGCGCAGACCCATTTCTTTCCCCTGCAATGCTGTAACAATTTCCTTCTTGACTGGGCCTTTGTAAAGAAAAAGATTAAGTTCCTCATCACAACCACCCTGTAAGGTAATAGGCAAGATGAATAGTGTTTTCCAATACAAATCAAGAAAAACTAAAGCATAAATTAAGAAACATACTATGTGGAATGGAAGGGGAATGAGAAATTTAGATTAGAATTGAGGGAGTGTGTAAATAGCCAACTTGATATTGTACACACAACATGTATGCTATTCAAGAAAGATAAATGCCAATTTATTTTGCTCTTCCCTCAATTCTGTAATTTGCATCACGTTTTTTCCAATAGTTTTCAAACCCATTTTTTAAAACTATAAACTTTTGTTTTGCTGGACAGTTCAAATATCCTCTTATCTTTCTTTAAAAAAAAAAAGAAAAAAGACAAAAATCCCTGCGGAACTTCATATAGCACAATTGGCCAAAAGGTCCAAATTGTAGATGGAGTTTGTGGGAGCCACTACCCTCTTTGTTTTCTCTCCTCTTCTCCCTCTATCAGACTTCAGTTGGTTAGGAATATTTTGTGGTGCTAAAATCAATTTTCAACAGTAAATAATTGCACTCATTAATTAGTTGTCAAAATGAAGCTTTTCACATTCTTGTTGATGAATTCCATTGTTGGGAGTATTTGGTATGTACAAGTAGACTTCTAAAAAAAAGAAAATATTATGGAAAAAAATATCCTATAATTGAAGACATAAGATTATTTATTTCCTTATTGTATTCTTCTGTCTCCTACAAAAGAATAACTTTGTGTTTCTAGTCGGTGTTTTCCAACAGGATACCAGAGGATAAAGTTGTGCTTATTTCATTAAAGAATATTTATGTATATTCTTTTATTGTTCTACATTTTTTCTTTTTGAGAAGCCATAGTGAAATCTACAACGATGACAATAGTGATCTGATCTGTTGCATACAAAAATTCTAGTAACTAGAAAGATCTGTTGCATACAAAAATTTAAGTTTTCTCTAATGACATTTTTAAGCTCCACTGAAGAAAAGAAGTCAAACTTTGAATAATACATACTTATTAAAATAAATCTAGTAACTAGAAAGATCAAGAGCTAGAACTAATGCAAAAGTTGAATATAGAGCAGGCATACTCTGCAAGGATTAAATTTTTTTAGGAGAATTTGGTCACCCATGAACTTATATTGTGAGAAGGTGCTGCCATTCGCATTTACCAATAAAACATGACACACCAAATATATTGGAGTGAATTGTCATTCTATAAAAGATGATGTGGTTGACAAAAAAAAAAAAAAAAAATTACTCCAAATGTCTCCATTTTTAATGATAAGAAATATTTTTTCCAAGGCATTAGGACATTTATTTTTTCTTGGTTATATAATAACTTGGAGCTCCCGAACATATATGCTCCCACTTGAAGGAGAGTATTGATGTATTTTGTGTTGGAGTATTTAGTAAGTATTAAATAACATCCTATCAATGGAAAGGAGATTATGATATAAGATATCTCATAATTAAGGATATAATTCTGATCATTTATTTTCTTATTTTATTCCCCTTGAGATTTATTTATAGGTCCACTTAAAAGTGAATAAGAAACAATAACGTTATTTTTCCTCCCAATATCTCCCAACACATGGAAATTGCTTTTGGTCCTTAGAAAAACCTACAGAATGCAGACCAGGTTTGTTAGTTTAGTAAATAAATTGTAAAATGACAGATAGCAGAAAAATGGCTAAACTCAACGACTTAGAAAAATTCGACAATAACCGGGGATGGGAAAACTTTGCAACTGGTTGTGGTGTCAAGAAATGCTGTCAGGTTCACCATATCCCGCACATTCAGGTTTATACCAGTCTCCTCTTCAACCTGCAAGTTCATCATTGCATTATCGGAAGGTAAATAAAGAGAAAGAAAATAATGCAAGGATAGTTAAATAAGAAATGAAGCAAGAATAACATATGAATTGCTTGTAACGAAAGAAGAAAAATGGTTATAAACATGGCAAAATGGTGCTAATGGGGCGAAGGGCAAGAAAGAGAGCAGAATACCTCACGAACTGCAGTACCAACAACATCACCTCCATCATCCAGCATTCCAGCTGGTAACTCCAAAAGTAACTTTCCAACAGGAACCCTGGCCTTGTACGTATATTTTTAAACAAAAACCTTAGTAAGCTCTAATGTGTTACATGGCCAATGATTCACAACAACATAAAAATACAAACATCAAGTAAAGGAAGAACAAAGAACGAAAACATAAACACAATATGCAAGCAAAATCAACTTTATGGTGATGAAGATGCTCCCTCAGGCAAGGTAAAGGAGTGCTCAACTATAACATTTCAGGTATTTCAATTGAAAACAACATAAAATACATGTCACGGAAGTTCCCCACTTTCTACCTGCTCTGTAAGGACAACATAAGTATCCTCTTCAGACTCAAGAAGAATCAGCACGCCAACAGATGGCCCTCTCGCAAAAACAATTCCTGGAACCTTAATGATAAGAAAAGTAATCTTAATACTCAGCTAAAAGGTGTTACTTACATCGAGAATGAAAATAACGAAACATTCAAAATTAAAGATTCAAGTTATGCAACAGAAGGGTGCAAATCAGGCAATATAAATCAAACAAGGCACAGGGAAAAATGGGGGATATATGAGTGTAGCAGACGTATAGCTTTGGTGTTACTTGTATTAGCATTTACATAACTAACACACAACTATGATGTATTTGCGTATCTCACACCTAAATTTCATATTTACATACATTGCACTTTGGTGCTTTAGACATATGCATGAAATGGTTTACTTCACTTTTAAAAAGTGATAATGGTGCTATTATTTGTGATATTAATAATTTTGAACGCTATGTGTGTAAATATGAAAGTTTAGGCGTGAGATAGATAAATACATTATAATTGTGTGCTATGTATGTAAATGCCTTCTTAATCTTATATCTACCAATAATCTCGCATAGTCAAAATCATTTATTTTTAGTTTTATGCCTTTTACTGAAAATTCATTTTTTTAAATTAGATTTTGAATTTCTAAGAAATCTATAGGCAACCTAAAGGTGAGATTCCACCGTTTATGTATAGAAAAATGCGAGGAAAAATCCTCTTATTCCATTTTTCTCCAAAATACATCTCCTTTCATTATAAAGAGAGTCAGCTATAGGGTAAACATAATTCCTGCAATTACAACTTACAAAAAAGTACAACAAACACATAAGAAAAGAACTACAATTATAATAATAGAGAAATGAATGAGGATAAATCTAAATAGGAAACACAAAATTCCACACTCCCCCTCAAGTTGAGTCACAAATGTTGTAGAGACCAAACTTGGTGTTCAAATCTGTGAAGCTACCTAGAGGAAGAGATTTCGTGAAGACATCAGCAAGTTGAAGATGAGTCGAAATGTATATTAAGTGAATAATGACTCTGCTAACAATCTCGGAGATAAAATGTCTATCAATCTCAATGTGTTTGGCCCTATCATGATGTACAAGATGCTTTGTAATACTGATGGCGGCTTGGCTGTCACAAAACATCTTTATGAGATTAGTCGTAGAGTATCTCAGCTCATTTAGTACCCTTTGAATTCATACTCCACAAATTCCCAAAACAAATGCACAATACTCAGATTATGCACTTATTCTAGAGAACACTACTTGTTTCTTACTCCTCCATGTGACAAGATATCCTGATACATAGGAATAATATCAAGAGGTGGATCTTCTGTCAATGACTTCTCCTATCTAGCGAACATCAGTGCACACTTCTACAACCTTGTTGTCAAATTTCCTAAAAAATAATCCTCAGTCAGGAATCTTCTTAAGAAATATTAATATTATGTACACCATTTCTAAATGTTTTTCATTTGGGTTGTTCATGTGCTGACGCACTATGCCGACAGAGTACAGAGATGTTAGGTCTAGTGTGCGACGAGTAAATAAGTTTACCCACAAATTTCTAATATCTACATTTTTCTATTGATGTCTTTCTTTCACCTGAGTGTATTTTTTTGTTGAAATTCAGAGGAGTCTCAATCAGTTTGCACCCCATCTTCAACCACGCCACTTCCATGCCCATAAGTATCTCATCGTCCCTAGATCTTTAATTTTAAATTTGGTAGCAAGAACCTCCTTAATCTTTCCAATCTTTTTGTCATCATCACATGTCAAAATCATATCATCAACATAGACAATGAGTATTATTTTCTTACCTCCCTGTGTATTGTTTATAAATAGTATATGATCTGCTTGGCATTGGATGTACCCATTTGATTTCACAGTCTTGGCAAACTTATCAAACCAAGCCCTTGCCGATTGTTTGAAGCCATAATAAGATTTTTTTAGTTTACAAGCAAGATGTTTAATGAATTCATTTTCCAATCCTGGAGGATTTCATACACTTTTTCCAAATCTCCATTCAAAAACCCATTCTAGATATCAAGTTGATGCAATTCCCACTATTTATTCACTGTCCAATATAGAATAACTCTTATAGTGTGTAATTTAACCACTGAAATAAATGTCTCTTGATAGTTTATCCCATAAGGCTGGGTGAAACCTTCGGTCACTAACATAGCCTTGAACTTTTTAGTGCTCCCAAATGCACTATACTTAATATTAAACACTCATTTGCATCTAATAAATCTTTTATTTGGAGGATATTTTGTAAGTGTCTATATGCCATTTAGCTTAAGTTCTTAGATCTATTCTTCAACCGTCTTTTTCCATTATGTACTTTGGAGTGCTTAATGAATCGACTTGAGTATCTGCACACTTTTAAGATTAAATACAAAGGCTTTGTGAGTTAATGATAACTTCCCATAGGCAACATACTACTGGTTAGGATAATATGTGCAACTTTTCATATCTTCTCCGTTGAATTCCACTTCCCTTAGAACCTCAGAAATGGTTGAATTCAGGTTTGGTTGTGAACAATCCTGTGGTTATATATTGACTTTACCTTGCGTTGGATTTTTTATTCTCCTAGTGTACACACAAGATTTAGTAGGAGGAACTTGGGAAACAGGATGGTTAGATGGAAGGAGAATATGTTGTGATGATTATGGATCAGTGTGGGTATCTATAGTAGGGTTGGAAGCAGATAGGTTGTGATGACTCTAGATCAATATGGGTGTCCCAAGTGTGATATTCACCTAGACTCACCCTCTGAATATCAGGATTGGGATAATAGGGTTGGTTTTCAAAGAAGGTAACATATTTGGAGTTATAATATTTTTTCGTAATTGAGGTCTACATTGGAATTTAAAAGCCTTCGTTTGAGTAGAACTAAAATTAAATAAATGAAATATAATTTTAGTAGAAGTAGCTCTAGTTACAAAGTTGTAACTATGAGTGATCAAATCATTAAATTGTGTGAACATTTTAGATATCTCGGGTCTATTGATCAAAGTGTGGTGATATAGATGTATGGTGATATAGATGTGGATGTTAATAGTAGAATTTAAGTTGGTTGGTTGAAGTAGAGGAATGGATCGAGCCTATTGTATGATAGAAAACTACCGCTTAGACAGAAAGGAAAATTTTATAACATGATGGTGAGACCTGCAATGCTCTTGCAATGCTCTATGGTGCAATGCTCTATGGTGCAAAATGTTGACCTTTAAAAGAGAAGCATAAAACAAATTTAAGTGTTGCTGAGATGAAAATGCTTCGGTGGATGAGTGGCTTAACACATAGAGACAAAATGTGAAATGAATATATTCGAGGGTTGGTGTAGCTCTAGGACATGATTAGAGAGAGTCGTTTTAGATGGTTTAGTCGTATCAAATGAAGACCATATGATGATCCGATTAGGAGAGATGTTTTAGATTCGACTTATGTTAAGAAAGGCACAGGTAGACCTAAAATGACTTGGTCATATTGTATAAAAAATGATCTTAATTTATTAAACTTAAACGAAAATATGACACTCAATAGGACGCAATGGAGAAAAAGGATTTATGTAGCCAAGCCCACTTGGTGGGATAAAGGTTGGTTGTTGTTGTTGATATTGTTGTTGTTGGACGAATGACACTTGTACCTCTTTTTGTTAGAAGCATGCCCCATAAAGATATATTTGATTTATTTGGGTCAAGTTTTATACAATTCTGTTAGTGAATGTGAACAAAAAAAAAAAACACAACCAAATATTTTAAGAGGAATATTAGATGAGAAAGCTCTGATATTAGAGTATTCTTCAATCAGAATATCAAGGGTATTTTGAATCCAAGAACCCTACTTTGCATTCTATTAATGAGGTGGATTGTTGTGAGCACAACTCCCGATAAACCTTTTGGAAGATTGCAAAAGAGCATTATAGACTTAAATACCTCAAGGAGATGTCTATTCTTCCTCTCAGCTATCTCATTTTATTGAGAAGTTTCAACATAGGAACTCACGTAGATGATATCATTCTTTGCAATGTAAGATCCAAGGATAAGGTTGAATTATTCATTTGCATTATCAATTTTAAAATTTAAAATTTAAATTGGAATTGATTGGAAATCATGTTATAAAAGGACACAAAAATTTTTGATGTTTCAAAATTTTCCTTCATAAGAAATATCCAACTAGTTCTACAGTGGTCATCAATAAAGGATACAAACTATCCGGCTCCATTGATGTTTTTTTGATTTTGATGGTTTACAAATGTCATCGTGGATGATAGAGAAGGGTTGTACTGAGACATATGATAGACATGACGACTACGTTTAGTCAATTTACATGTTTCACGCTGATAAAACTTTAGCTTTTTATTAATAAAAAGTTGATGATACAATTTTACAACATAATGAAAATTGGGATAACCCAAAAGACAATATCGTAACAAAACACGACTCTCAACAGTGTCAGACGCAACAGACTTAGGAAAAGACTCAAGAATATGAGAAGAAAAGGGTAAAGAAGACACTTGTGTGTTAAGAGAATAATTTTTCATGGGCAGGTATTGACCTTGATGCAATTCAACACTATCAATCACCTTCCTCGAATCCACGACCTAAAATTCACAAGAGTTAGAGTGAAATTTAGTAACGCAATTCAAGTAATGAGTAATCTTGCTGATGAAAAATAAGTTGAAATCTAATTGAGGAACATATAGCGAAGAAGAGAGTTGAATATCTTTGGAAACTTTCATATCTTATTTCCCAACAATCCTGGAGTAAGATCCATTGGCAAGTCTAACAAATCTAGAGCAGGTGAACTTTTGGTAGTTGGTGATATCATGAATATCTCTAGTCATGTGATTAGAAGCACCTGAATCTATTATCCAAGCTCAAAATCTCTCATTGTTAGCGAGATAGAAAAAGGATATTATACCTTTGATTTATCATTAAGTTGGTATGTTCCTCAATTGTGCTTTTAAAAGAAGCATCTTCAACACCTCCAATTGTTCCTTAATGAAGGGAATGGGTTTGGCTAAGCCTTCAAAAGAGGTGGCAGCATAGGCCTTATAGTCTTGTTCTTTCCACCCTTGCCC